CCGACCCCCTGCTGCTCAGGAGATGTAGGCAGCGCACGCTCTGGCGGAGGTGCCTGCTCACGTCGCCTCTGCAGGCCGTCGTAGACCTCGCCTGGGTTCAACCGGGCATGCATCTCCGACTCCTGCTTCTCTATCAGCGCGAGGCGGTCCAGCAGCTCGGCTTTGTCACGCTGCAAGACCTCCAGTCGTTTCTTCTCCTCCCTCTTCCTCACGTCCTCGGAGGCTCCTGCCGTGACCCAGTCCTCGCCCTTCGGAGCGGCGGCGGCGGCTTCCCCAGTCGGTGCGGCGGACGGTAGTCCTGGCGCAGCTCCGTCTGGGATGTTCCCGGAAGGTTCTCCCGGAACATTTGATCCTTTCGTATTCGATGCCCCCTTCGCCGACGGCGCCGCTGCGGCGTCCGCCACGAATACTGGGTGGGCCTTCGCAGGGCCACTACTTGGAGAGGGATCCGGCTTCTCGCAGCGGCGCGTGTAGAGGTTAAGGCGCACGATGCGGTCGTTCTTCGCGATGAAGTGGATGGTCGCCGGCGGCGCCAGGTAATCCCTGAAGATGTCCTGGCGCGGATGCCAGCTGCAGAAGATCTCGCCCATCTCCTCCGGCGTGAACGGCAGCTCCTTATCCTCGCGCCGCTGATCGTTATCGTCCTCGCTGGCCTCATCCTCCTCGCTGGCCCCATCCTCCTTCTTCGCCTCGGCCTCCTTCTTCGCTTCCCTGCTGCTTCTCGCCCTCTTCTTCTCTTTCTTCTCTTCCTTGCTGCTCCTCGCCTTCTTCTTCTCTTTCTTCTCCTCCTTCTCACCGCGGCCTTCCGGTGCACTCCGCGACCTCGAACGCGATGAGGCCCCCACCTCGGGCGGAGGAGGGGCGCGATGCTCGCGGAGAACAGCTCCCCGATCGCGGTGGCGGTCGTCACGACGATCTCGATGATGATCGCCACGATGCTTGGTGCCACGGCCTCCGCCATCACCGCGCCGATCGTCGCGGTGCTTGCAAGGTGTCACGATTTCCGCCCATCGCGATCTTAAACGTAGTCGCCGTGATCTCATCGAGATCCACCTCAGCCGCCGCACAAGGCTTCGACGTGGTCAGCTGCAGCCGCATAAGCCGACCCTGGACGAAGCCGATGGCCTCGAAGCGGCCTTGCTTGAAGAAGATGGGCTTCTTGTTCGTTACGCGCTCCACGATGTGATGGACCGTCGCAAGGTCAGGAAACTCCGGCTCCACGCTGTGCCCCTTTGCGTGCGTGTTGGCCAGGATGCGATGGCAACGCGCGCATGCATCCTCGTCCTCCTGATCCTCACCGCGCCTTGCAAGGGCGCGCGCACGTTCATCACTGCCCTGTTCTGGGCCATCGTCGGTCTGCTGGCATAAACGCGATGCCGGCGTACTCTTGGGTCGAGGGTTCCCGGCATAACTCCCCGGAGCATCGGCTCGAACCTCTCCCGAATGCCTCCGGGCAGGCACCGACAGGGGAGCGCGGCGCCACGGCGCGCGGCCACGACGCTCTTCGGCACTGCCAGCCATGCCAACCCAGTGGATGACCAGCCCATGCGCCTGCCTTGGCACCGGCGGCTTCGCAGAGCTCCGCTGGTTGGGCGACGCTGGCTGGCCACTCTTAGGCCCGGTCTTGCTGTGCGGCTCGCGTTCGCCACTCTTTACCTTGGGGCGCTCCGGGTCGCCGCGCCAGTGGCCGGACTGATCGCAGTCAGCACACCGGCTGTTGGCTTTGCGCTGGTCAGTCGTCCTGCGACCCGCCTGGAAGGAGCCGCTGGCGTTGATCTTCATGGGGTCCCGCTGCCGAGGGGCAACGAATCCGCGCTTCTGACGCTGCACTGCCGTCTTCTGCTTGGCCCTCCACCCGGCCAAGAACGCTTCCTGAAGATCCTCCGGTGCCTCGTACTCCTCGTCATCAGGCCCGTCGCTGTCCGACGCCAGCTCCTCGTCGACCTCGGCGCCGTCCTCGAAGAAGATCCCCTCGCCCCTTCCGGGGTCTCCGTCGTCCTGGTCGTCTGCTTCCTCCTCGTCGTGCTGCGCCTCCTCCAGGTCGCCGTCGTGTTCATCGTAGTCGTCGCCGTTCTCCACCTCGTGCACGTGCTGGCCATGGCGGCCTCGAGGTACGAATGGCCTGCGAGCCAGGGGAGGGTGCGGGAAGCGACCGCCCGAGCTCCCGGAGGAGCGCCCGTGCTCACGCTGCGCCGCCACAGACGCGCTTCTCGGTGTCGTGCACCTTCGAGTAGGCTGCCTTCAGCACGACCTCCATGCGCTTCGAGTCGTAGACGCCGCCGCAGTTGAAGAGCACCTGCGCTCGCTCTCTTTGCGACAGCCCAGCACCACGGAGCATCTTGCTCGCCAGCGCGCGATCGCTGATCGCTGAAGTGGGATCCTCGAGCTGCAACTCCATGCGCCCAGTCCATGATGGGATGCCCTGCCCGACGGTGAGCACGCTCCCACTCCTGATGCACCTGATCCAGGCGCTCGTGATCCATCTTCTCGAAGGCGTCATCGTAGATAGCAAAGATGGTCTCGAGCGTGTCCTCGCGTCGGAGGTCCGACGCGTCAAGTACCTCGATGAGCTCCTTGGCCCGACCTGTCACCTGACTGCACATGATCAGGCCCAGCTCCATGTCGGAGAGCTGGTTGAGATTGCGGATGACCTCCACAGCCTTGCGCCGCTCTCGGTACTTTTTAGTGCTAGTGCTGACGGCCCCGTCGAAGTCCGGGAGCTTCACCTGTGACAGCAGTAGGCGTGCACGCCTGGGACCGCTGTCGCCACCACGATCCCGCTGCAAGGCCAAGATCTCCCTCTGGGTCTCGGCCATCACGCGCAGGACCGCGTGCAACTCCGGAGAACCTGCGCTGGCGGAGGACACCGCCTCCGCGTCCGAGCCGTCCTGGCTGCCGGCCATGGCGGCGCGCGCGGGTGGTCGCAGCCACCCGAGCAGAGCACGCAGTGCGTCCGCTGGAGCTTACAAGCTCCGCTACCAATGTCAGTGCAGTTCTTTTTGCTCGGACCGCGCGGCGGTCAAACTGCGGGTGCAGTCCCAGGGCCCTAGGACTAGGGCCAAAACGGCGGCGGGCAGCGTGCACGCCACAAACATGAAAAATATGTGCATCATGCTCACAAGGCGGCACGGGCGGCAGAGGGGCAGGGGAGTGACCTCTTCACACGTAGTACTCATCTTGTGCAAGCGTGGAGGGGGAGGATACAGTCATCGGGGGGCGCAAACTTAGATCGCCACTGGAAGGCCATAGAGAAGAATAACAACATGCACGCGACCGCCCAGACAAAGGCTGCCACTGCATGCCTGCGACGAGCGGAGGCAGCTTTCGTTTAGTCATGTGCGCAAGTGGTGGCAACATTTGGTCAAAAACACACGTTGTCCTTCGTGTATTGCCACCAAGCGTTGGTGCGTACAAGGACCCCCCCCCGCAGAGACGAGAATCCCACCAGCCCTACGGGCATGTGATTTAGCGAGGACGATCTGCCAGCCGCCTTGTTGTCCATTGGGGAAAGGTGTACGTACCCGTTCTCCTACCCTAGGCCTCGACCAGCACCACCATTACCACCGCCGCCAACGCCCCCGCCCCGAGGTATCAGAGGGGTAGTGCTTGACCAAGATGGTTCCAACATGGCCCCAGATATTGCCTTCAGGATAGCACTGCATAGCGCAATATTGCTCAACATGTAATCCAGCATGCATCCAAGAGCCCCAAGACGGCTCCAGAAAGCAACAGAGCCTACCAAGGAAGCCCCTGAGATGGCATAATCCCCAACAGCAACAGCTTGCTCCATGTATGCTGTTGCCTTCTCGCCAGCTCGCTCCGATTAGTCCCTGAGGTAGCAGAATGACTCCATGATCGCCAAGAGAGCCCCAACATGGGGGCTCCAAGACGGCCCCGACGGCGCTTCAAGACCGCTGCGATGTGTCGTGCCTCAGGCGGGCGATGCTAATTCACGCAGCCCTCTGAGCACATGGGGCTTGAAGGACTTGGGCATCTCCAGCGTGCCTTCTAAAGGCCACCAGAAGGCCCCAAGGCACCTACAAGTGGCACCGAAACCTCCCAACGACACGCACGCCCGATCTGTCAAACAACGAATGCTGCTCAATGGTCGTTGCCTTTTCGCTGTTCGCTTCCATTGGGCGTCCGATGCCCCCAAGACGGCTTCAAGATCGCCTGAGAGAGCCCCATGAGGGGCCCACGTGAAATTCAAGACGGCCCCAGAGGCCCTCAAGAGCGCCCCAGGCGAGGGCCCCAAGAGGCGACGTTTCGGAGTCCAACGGTGGGACGCCAACTTAAGACCCACGCTCCTTTGATCGATGCCCTCCAAGATGGCCCCAGGAGGGCCCGAAGGACCCCTAACCCAAGAGAGCCTAAGAGGTGCCCCGAAAGAGCCCAAAAGACCCGTCACATTACACCAAGAACTTGAGAAGGCCCTAATAGAACCCGAATTTTCAAGAGGCCCACATGTCAAAACATATCCGCGAAGGCATGTCTGGCTATCTCCTGGGCCTGTCCAGGCGGATCCCGAGTATCAGCCTGACGGCTGCTCTTTTTTTGTTCCAATGCTGTCAATGTTCGCTCTTACACTTCCCCCATCAAGGCAGATAGTCCGGGCAATGTTTCTGGATGGGCTGGTGGGGGCGGGCTCGCGAAGAGGGTCGAAAGCCGGGCAAAGCTAGGGCGGGCCGCGCCGACTGATTTGATACATGAACCGGAAGGTACACACCGACTGTATTTGCTGTTCATGGAGCATGCACACGCAGGCTCAAATGATATTGCGCAGACGGCATGCGATCAACGCGTGATGTGACAGACTCTGCGACCCACCGCCAAAACAATAAGCCAATCCACCTCTATGGCAGGAAAGCAGCCCACAAAAGTGCTGCATATACGTGGTCCCCGGAACATGGGGGGTCCGAGGAGGGGGAGACTTAGAGCAGTGACCCACCCGTTGCGCGTCCGCCCGCGCAGCAGGCAACAAGTACAGCAACTCCGCTGGCCTGGTTTTTCTCGGAGATGACACGGCCGACGATGCCCAGCTTACCCTTCTCCTTTGGGCACGCTTCTCTGACCAATATCAGCTCTCTCTCTCTCTCTCTTTCTCTCTCTATCTCTATTTCTCCGTTTATTGCTATCTCTCTCTATCTCTCTTCCTCTCTCTCCCTCTCTCTCTCTCTCCTTCTTTATATATCTAGTTTGTTTTCTCTTTTTCTCTCTCTCTCTCTCTCGCTCTCTCTCTCTCTCTCTCTCTAGATATATCAATATCTCTGAACGTATATATACACACATCCGTACCTCGATGACATATATCTACACAGGCTCCCCAAACAGCGCTTGCACTCAGGGGTTGTCAGGTGGCGTATTTCAATATTGGATGGGTCCGCCGAGGATGCCCCCGTTCCCGCCCGTGGGCGCTCTTGGGCGCCCCGCGCCCTGGGTGGGTCCGCCGAGGTCTCGCCTGGTGCCAGCCCGTGGGCGCCTCGTGGGCGCGCCCCGCACCCGGGGCATGTACCACAGCTCACACAGCACAGCTCACACCGCACAGCTGGCACAACACAGTTCACACCACACAAGCCACATCTTACAGCTGGCACAACATAGCGCACAACCGCACAGCTGACACAAGGCAGTTTGTGCCACATGGCTCACACCATCTAGCTTGCACAGCACAGCTAACACCGCATGTCGTACTACGCATAGCGTCCATTTCCAAATTGCAATAGCTCACAGTGTGGGCTCCACCACGCTGGCTAACATACGCATATGTACACATACACACATACACACGTGTATACCATGATTATGTGTATATATATATATATAGACATGCAATGTAGTTATCTCTCCTGCTGTTCCTGCTCCCCCACGACTCTTCTGGCCGCTCGGCAGCGGCGCCGAGTGCGCGCGTGTGTCTGTGTGTGCAGCGCGCGGCCGACGAGGGGGTCTCGGCGAGACCTCCTCGTCGGCCGCGCGCTGCACACACAGCCACACGCGAGACCGTCTCGCCCACAGTTCTCGGCCAGGCGCACGGCCTCCCCCCCCGCCCCCCCGCCCTCACCCCCTTCGGCGATTTCTTGGTTCGGCAACAATAGAGGGCAGGAAATTCACCCCGAGAAGAACCACCTCGACATGCGAAGCCGCATAGTAAACGCACCCAGAGAAGGAATCAAACAGGGCAGGGCTGTTCAGTAAACGCCCAGGGCCGTTTAGTAAACGCCAATTGACCGGTCCGGGTGTTTTTTTCCTCCCTTGAAGTAAGCTCTGCGCGGTCTCTCATTGAGCACAGTGGTCCAGAAAGTTAAACCCTGGAGCGAAAGGCCTGGCGGACGAACGGTATTTACACGATTGCACCAGTCCTCTGACGAGGCTTCCCGTCGAAGCGCACCAGAGCATGTGTGAGGGCACGGAGATGGAACCGCAAAACGCGCTGCCGAAGATGACCCATCATCTTTGCGATTATGAAACGCTTCGCCCCTTTTCCGCCCCATCCCCACGCCGCCACGGCGGACTCTCTGAGGGCCTCTAGGCGCCCTGAAGGACTCGGCTTAGGTCGGGCGTGTCCTCTTACAGGCGGATTTTGGACGCCAAATAAACAATAGTCAACACTACCAAAAAATAATCAAAAATACAAAAAAATCGTGCCCAGACTATTTTTTGACTATTTTTGAATTTTCCCCCTGTAGAGGGACACGCCCGACTTAGACTCGGCCAACGCGCCTGACCTCTTCAGGGTCGCATCCCGACCAGAAGGTGCCTCCGATCCCCACGAGGCTGGGGCGCGCCCAACGCCGCGCCCAGAGCAAGGGGAGCAGGGCGAGCAAGACGAGCGGGAAGGTCAGGACCCGACCCGGATCCGACCTGAAGTGGGACGCACAGAGACATACTAATACTATATGTCCGCCTTGGAGGCGCGCGTCCGACTCGAACATATAGTATACCCATCTTGTAGTACATCGTTACCCGAGCGGTGTGGCCAGAAAGCGTCCGCCACGACGCGTATAGCATAAGATTTCTCGGTGTGTGCGTCGCCCTTGGGGGGAACGACGCACATATAGTATTATAAGTATGTTGGGGTGGCGCCGATGAAGCGACGACGCCGCATTGCAATGGGGCCAGCAACCCCTGAAGCTGAGACAGCGGGAAGAGCAGACAGAGCGGGAGCTGGGGCAGGAGGGCGCGGGGCTGACCATCGCTCAACCGATCCCTGTCCCCGCTGGCGTGGCCTTGGCCCCGTTGGCCGACTTGCCCATGCAGGTGTGGATGCGTGCCTATTCCCATGGGTTTCGCGGGGCCTCTCCCCACCTGGGAGGGTGGGCTGGCGAGGCTGACTTGTCACGACCAGCGGGGACGGCGATGGGGCTGGACGGTGCTGACGGGCGGGGATCGGAGGAGGAGGGCGAGGAGGACGAGGAGGACGAGGCGGACGAGGAGGACGAGGAGGAGCTGGAGATGGAGGAGGAGGTGGAGGAGGTGGAGGAGGTGGCGGAGGAGGAGGAGGGCGAGGAGGAGGGAGGAGGAGGAGGAGACGAGGAGAGGAGGAGGAGGAGGAGGGGAGGAGGAGGAGGAGGAGGAGGAGGAGGAGGAGGGAGGAGGAGGAGGAGGAGGAGGAGGAGGAGGAGGAGAAGGAGGAGGGCGGGGGCGCGGCAGCACCGACGGGGAGGCCCCGCCGTGCGTGCCGGCTGCGCAGGGCCGAGGCCGGGCTCCTGGCCAAAGAGCACCCGGACCCTGTCGCCCACCTGCGGGCCCGCGAGGGGCGGCGGGCTGCGCGGGCCGCGGGGCTGACAGCTGCGGCGCCCCGCGGGTGACGACGACGAGGGGGGCAACGATGAAGGGCGTTTTTTTCTTGGTGGCGCTGATGCTGCTGGATATGGTGTTGATGCTGGTGGTGCTGGCGGTGATAATGATGACGACGACGATGTTTCTGATAACGATGCTGATGATGCTGAAGATGATGATGATGATGATGCTGATGATGATGATGATGGTGATCATGATGATGACGAAGAGGGTAACGACGGTGATGGGGGAGGAAAGACAAGGGAGAAGGAGCGAACGTCCCTTTCGGAACGTCTGTCTCCTCTAGCGCCGCTGCGGCCACGTGCCGCCGACAAGGCACGGGGGAGAGGCCTCACCACGCGGCAGGCGACGGCGAAGGCACCCTTGTTGTAGTTGCAGGGGTTGGCACTGGCCTCGCTGCTGGAGGTCGGGTCGTTGACGCGGATGAAGTTGCAGATCTTGAAGGCGACCGCCAAGCTCGCGATGGCATGGTCGATGTCGTTCTCGTCGTCATCGTGGAGCTCTCCGCTTATCCCCAAGCGCGTCAGCAGCGAGGAAACCACGCCGCGGGGATGGCAGAGATAAGCCCGTACCCTTCGGCACGTGAGGTCGCGCCACATTTTGGCGTCCCGAAACGGTGCGGTGACAGACCGTGCGGTGACCTCGAAATCCCCCAAGACCTCACCGCACGGTCCGTCACCGCACGGTCTTGGGACCTCGGAGGCCCCAGTCGCCCGAGACGTCCTCGGAGAACGACCCGAGTCCCAAAACCGTGCGGTGACCCCGAACCCCCACCGACTCACCGCACGGTGTGGTCACCACACCGTTTGGGGGCCCCCGACACATGTTGTCGATGTTGTTCGGGCGCTCGCGGTCCATCACGCAACCGAAATAGCATGGGAATGTGACGGGGTTGCTGCGCGCGGAAACTCGTCGCCAACGCACCCGGCAGCGTGTTCAGAGTCGCCCGCAGCTCCATTGGCGGAGCGCGTGACATGGTTGCGAACTACATTCCATCCAGCGACGACAGATCGTGGCCACTCCCGCACTCCGATGAGAGAGGCGGGCTCACCCTCTCCGCTGTCGGGCCCCGCGTCGTTCGGACAAACGTTGGGGGCGGGCATCAAAATACTCCAGCGCCAGCGACCGGCGAGCCCGATGTTCAGCAATTCCAGCGTCACTGTAGCTTTCGGCGGCGGCCGGATGGCGGGGAGCGAGCAACAACGCGGTCCGCCGATGTCGGCCAGCTGCAATGCACGCCCAAACCCTCTCGCACATGTCTCGCGCGGTTTGTTGGCGTCGTTGCCCTGCGCCACGACGACCGCCGTAGACGTTGGCGAACCGGAGACGCCGCGGGATTGCCATCAGGCATGGGGCGCACCATCTCACCCAGTCCTCTAAGCCTGGTAGCCAGGCAGCTGCCCGTGCTTCGGCGCGCTCGTTCAGATCGCTGGTGGACTGTTCGGCACGAGGGCGAGCTGCGCCGGGAGCATCGCCGCGTTGGTAATGCTCTCGACCCTCGCTTGTCGCGAGTAGTTAAACAGCTGGGTGCTAAGACTTGACGCGCTTGAGGATGGCATTGTCGAAGCTGCCCGAATAAAGGCGACGCTGATGCTCAAGGGGGGAGCTTCGCTGAAGGGATCGGGCGTCTCTGCCCATGCCTTTGCCAGCACCCTTGTCAAGCCCTTGCCAGCATCTGCGCCAGAGGAGACTGATGCCTCAAACCTCTGGGCAATCGAGATCTTGCCCCACCAGCAATCAGCGCACCTGTGGCCATCCCCGGTCTGGGCGATGGGAAGCAGTTCCTCCGCGGCAGCGCGGTGCCGTTGAAGGTTGGCCACCCAGCTCGTCAGCGACGCCGTGGCCGCGCGTCTCACCGCGGCCGACAGAAACGCCTCAATCCCCTGAGGCAAGTCGGCACCTGCCCAAATCAAGAAGAAGAAGAAGATGTCCATCTTCGTGAAATTCGAAAGAGCGGCTCGAAATAGTTCGACAAAACCGCGAAGTGCCGTTGAAAGGAAGCACGGGTGGTGATGGCGGGTAAGGCTGGCCGACGGGCGAAGCAGGTACTGGCGGCAACTTTGTCGACCTTGATGTCATGCTGTGGTGGCGCTCGGGAACCGGCGAGAATTTGCACGCGGCCCCGCCACTTGCGTGGTGGCGCGCGCCACTGGGTGGTCAGAGACGCGCCATGGCCGATGTAGACGCCGAGGTAGCGGGCGCGGCTCGCAGCTTCAAGATGCTGCCATGGCTCGTGGGGTCCGTCCGAGGATGGTTTCAATCGCTGCAATGATGGCGATGAGAGGGCCCAGGTAGGCACGATGATTCAGTTGTTCGGCTGCAGACTCTGGCAAGCGAATAATTGGGCGGCATGGGGGCGCAGCGACAAGGAGGAACCCGTAAATCGTCGGCGGAGGCGGTGGCGCTGGTGAGGCCGCGCCCAACGCGGCCGATCGCGACTTGACGCCGCGGACGATTGGGTCGAAGACGAACGCCATAAATGCGCCGCTCAGAGGACAACCCTGGGCCACGTCCGGCTCGGCGATGAGGGGGGAGGCTTGCGCAGTCGAGCTCGAAGAACGCGATGGGCAAGTGGCAGCGCGCGCGCAGATGGTCGAGCGTCGGTCCGCGGACGGCCAGAACAGGACGGCCACGAAAAACGCGAGGATGCTGCCCCAAAACGTCAAGATGGATATCTTCGTCGATAGGACCTTACCACGATGATGGCTGCGTAGGGGCCCGGGGCCCGAGCCTGCGTAGGGACGACGAAAGCCACGCCGACATGCGGGGCAGCCGTGGTGATGCCATTATCAACCTCGGTCGAAGCCGAAGCTAATGACATTGGCACATTGATTGACAATGTTCTATTCGGGCGGTGCGATGTGCTCACAAGGACAGCCAAAACTACCGCACACGTACCGGGGCACGGCGCTAGCCCAGGATGGAGCCTCGCAGTCACGCCCGACGCGAAGCTGCGCCCACTGCCTGTGGGGTTGCGATGGGTCGAGGAAGGTCGTGGCGCTCCTGTGGGCGTGTCGCTCCTCATCGCGGTTACGCTTTCTGCCGCTGCCCTCGCAGTCGGACCGGGTGTCCAGGGCGACCTGCCGGTTGGCTTGCGGAATTGCCATACGCCCAGAATAATCAAGGAATGGAGGGTGGCACCGATGCAGACGTGAAAATAAGCGCGAAAATGCGCCCACACCGGGCTCTTCGCACGTTCCGTGGATCGTGAGCTGGGATCGCCCCCAGCTCCGCTAATAATTAACATTGCGCGGGTTGGAAGCTGCACGAGCGATAGCATGGTGGCAATAAGATGTAAATTGCGGGGCGTTTGCTCTTCATACAATAAGTGGATATGCGCGATGAGAAAGAAGAGGAGAGGAAGGAGGAGGTCGAAGGGCCGAGATCCCGTGCGTTCCTTGCTCCTGCTCTCCTCGTGCTCCTGCGGGTCGTAATCCTCCACCACATACTTGTCCTCCTCCTCCTCCCCTTCCTACGCCTCATCCTCTTCATCATCATCCTCCTCATCCTCCTCATCCACCTCATCTTTGTCCTCGAGCCACCATTTCAGACACGTCGCGCGTGCGGACAGCCAGTTTCTAAGCTTGACACCTCACACTTCGGAGCATACTACTGTATCACACATTGATATACTCTGCAGGGGGAGCTCTGCCTGCATATGTTATTGTGTCTCGTAGTTTGTTTGTGCAGTGCAACACGCTCAATGGTCGACATGAGCATAGTCACGTACAACCCCTTCGAAGCGAAAATCGAAGGGCACGAGGACATCTCACGAGGTGAAAGATTGGGACATCGTTCTCTTATCGAGAACGCACGGGGTGGCACAGCTTGCCCAGCCAAAACAGCAATACACATGCACATTATTGGGCCCTACACTTGGGGAGAAAAGTTGACAAGCTAGTAACGGCATCCTGCAGGATCTCGATTATGATCTCTGGTCGCATCCCCACGACGACAGTGTACATACCGCCACCTGACATCTAGGCCAGAATGAAGGTATCAGGATCCAGACGAAAGAAATGGACTTCGCGTACCTCGCACCCATGCAGGACGGAAAAAGAATGTGATATCGCAGTAGGTATTCACCTGGATGGAAAAGGTTCTGGATGGGCTGGGGGCCAGGAGTGACTCGCTATTGTGGTGTGAGGGGTCACCAACAGTTAGTTACAGGGAAGTACACAGGGATGAGGATGGGAGCATGCAGCGCACTCGCACCGTATGTCTAGGAGGTGTGCGCAGTGCGAAAACACAAAGGACACCACCTTCAACACATTGTGCACGGACAACGGTCTAGAAGTCGCTACCACCTTCCACGGCATTGGTAACACAATCTACGGTGCAAACGGTGGACAGTCCAGTATAGACCATCTAATGATCCCAGCCGCCCTTCCACTTGTACGCAAATCTTGCTGCCCCCACAATTCTGGTCAGAATAACAGCGAAATCCCAGACCGCAGATGCCGAGAGCACCTCTCGAATGGTAGGATAGTGGGCATACGTATCAGGAATCACGGCCACCCCCACAAGCAGCAGCAGAGAGCCGACAAGGGGAGCTGATGAGATGCCTGCGGCCAGAATACAAAATACGCGAACTGTTTCAGAGCATCGGCTTCGAGTTGGCCAAGACCAAAGAAGCAGAATGGCAACAATACCTCCAGGACCATGCCCCAGACTACGTATGGACCAGATGCGTAGATTGCGCGCAAACAGCCATGACCAAGACGTCCACGGCACAGCGCATGCACAGAGACACAGCGTACAACGAGATGCAATAGAGAAACATAGACTTGCTGGAGGAAAGGTGGTGGAGGCTGCAGAAGGTGGAAACATCGGAGGACAACGAGGGTTTCAGGGTCGACAGTGAGCTCAAACAAGTAACGACTGCCCTTAAGAAGCTCCGAGAGGCGCATCGTAATGCAAAAAGGGAAGATAGTGTGACAGA